AGACGGTGAACAGTCAGATTTTTTCCCCATTACCTGTGGAGTGAAACAAGGGTGTGTCTTAGCGCCCACACTGTTTGCCCTTTATTTTGCAGTAGTAGTCAAAGAGGTCTTACAAACGGTTTCCGAAGGAGTTCGCATCCGCTTCCGAACAGATGGCAGTCTTTTCAACCTGGCCAGACTTAAGGCGCGCACCAAAGTCTCGTATGCATTAATTACAGAGATTATGTATGCTGATGACTTATGCTTTTTAGCAGAATCTCCACAAGGCCTACAAAAGCTGATGTCTGTCTTCCACCAAGCATGCTGTAAGTTTGGTCTGAAGATTAGTGTCAAAAAGACGGAGGTGATGTCCTTGGACACGCATGGTCGTGAGACACTGACCATTAAGCTTGGTGAGGATGAGCTGAACCAGGTCGATAAATTTCGATATCTGGGTAGCACTATAAAATCTTACTGCGACCTTGACGCTGAAATCAATAGCAGGATCAATGCTGCAGCTGCTGCATTTGGTAGGCTGCGATCTTAGGTCTTCTGCTCGCACGACCTTAAGCTGGCTACAAAAATCTCGGTGTACATGGCGATTGTGCTGCCAAGCCTCTTATATTCTTCAGAGACATGGTGTGTGTATCGCCACCACATTCGTACTCTGGATCGGTTCCACCTTAAATGCCTTCGTACCATCATGAAGATCAGATGGTCCAACCGGGTGCGTAATTCTGAAGTTTTGCGACGAGCCAATGTCGGTGGCATTGAGGCATATTTAATACGTCGGCAGCTTCGATGGTTTGGTCATGTGTCACGTATGGCGGAGGAACGAGTGGCGAAACGCATCTTTTACTCTGAACTAGAGGAGGGGAAGCGGAAACATGGCGGTCAACTCCTCAGATACAAAGATGTTCAGAAACGACATATGAAGAGATGCAACATAGAGCCATCCAATTGGGAGGTTTTGGCAGCGCAGCGTACGGAGTGGCGCGGAATTGTGCAGAGGCGTATCCGCGAGTTTGAAGATCAGCGTAAAGCTGAACTCGACGCTAAGCGCGATGACCTAAAGGCCCGTCCAACCGCCGCCATTAATTATAACTATGTAGGCGGCGTACTCACGTACCCTCACTGTGCAAGGGAGTTTGCCGCCAAGATTGGTTATATAAGCCATTTTCGGGCGCATCAGCGTCAAATCAATTAGGAGTTGAAGAGGTCGCCATGGCCGAAATCGGTCGGAATAATCATCATTGAGTTTTGTTTAAATATTGAAGGTTTAAGAAATTCATTTTCTCAAAAGAACAACAAATCACTTACAGAGAAAATACAAAAACTATAGTATGTAGAAAATTATACAAAAAAATTTTGTTATAATTGTATTTTTGTTTAGTTTGTTATGTTCAGTTCATTTTTCTTCTATAATGTTTAACAATGTTTGTGTTAGAAGAGAATTAATGTAGCCTATAGGAACGATCTCAGATTCATATCAGATGTAAATAAATCTCTTCTACGGTATAACTTAACATTAATTGTCATTTTACAGCTTTTCTCGGCGTTTGTAACTGAAGTCATGTCATGAAAATGTCCAGTAAACTATCGATTACTATAAAAACAAATTGTGCAACAAGTACAGATGTTAATTTATGGTTGCTGTTACAACAGCTCAGTTTATTCCTATAATAACATTTTATTACATCGGCACATTAGACACTCAGGATTTTGCCAGAAAAAGCTAACCAAAAAGGATCCGGTTAATATGTTAAAACCCAATAAGATGTATGTATTCTCTTGTCTTCTTGTTTTTCTTGGGTATGTATTCTCATGTTTTCTAGAAAGCTGTCTTAACATAGCTGATGTGCATTTAGCAACCATAACCATGTCTTAAAATAACCCTCGAAATACTTTGGAAGTATTTCAGAAGTTTTACCGGAAGCTCTTGATAAGCAGCAATGAATGTTGGTGCAAATGTTACTTTACTAATTTAAATAACGTGCACTTTACATAAGCAGAATTTTAAATAATGACGTATTGTATTGCATTCATTATCGGGGCTTGTAATTCAATGTATATTAGAAATTAAATTATTTAGCTGTATTTGAAGTATATCCCGAAATGGAAAGAACGACATTTCTCACACCGACAGTACCATGTCTTCTCAATTTTTTTATTGAAAAGGAATGATTCAACGATTTACTATTTAATAACATAAAACAAAAGACTGTATGTCCCTATGTGCCTTATTTAAACACGAGTATTAAGAAGATTAAGTTTTGAGATAACCGATGGGGATTTCTTGATTCCTCGTACAGGCCATCGCAGTGGCGGACACCCCGTTAGATGGAGCGAGAGTCTGCTGTCAAATTTTACCCAATAAAAATTATAGAATGTTAATAACAGACATATGAGAAAAAGCCAAAGACCAAAGTTTCAATTTTGCATAAGCTTCAACCCCGACGGAGTGTTCAAACGGCGCATTCGCTATTAAAAGCTCGCTCATCAACAGGTCCCGTGCAGTCCGTGGGTCGCAATTTTAAACTCTTAATAACGAATCGAACGAAACGTCCCGTCAACGCCGACACTTGCATTAATGAGGGCGCGCAACAAAAGGCAATAGCGGCGCGATTCATTTCGCCTGCGGTTAGTGAGAGCACCGCGGTCCCGGCGATATGAACCTGCGCTCAGCGGTATACGTATGTCTGTTATTAAAGACCCGTTCGTTAGTGGTGGGATTTGCTGAGTGTATACGTAATTCCGTAGGTCAATATTCCAATAATCACGCTGAACTGCGCAGGGAATATTGTTGCTCGCCAATGTAGATCTGTCTTAGAGATCTTCGAATATTATCGACACATATTGTTATTTGATTTCTGAAGTATTAAATGCACACTTGACGATTCCGAACTTATCATTTCTTAAACTTGTACATAGACATTGGTATTAAAATTTGGTACATTTTTATTTTTATTAATAATTATAGTCCTATTTTCTTTTATAAGTTTACCTACTTAACGAATTTAGGCATGGTAGTATTTTACAAACATATACAGCTCTTGTTTTATCAACTCGGTTAAAAACAACTGTCTTCGATCAAACAATCAAATAATTCACCTACCGAGCAATGTTGTTAAAGAATGTCAGACTGGACAAACTAGTTTTTCTTAAATCCAGACTGATCATTTGTAATATTATAAGGATAATTATCTGTATGCTGACTTCATTTCTTGCTAACCTATACACATCGTACAGCATATGGTCAAGATGTGGGTTTTCATGCGATCATAAAAAATAAATACGGCTACGATATTATTGAGTCCGAAAGATTGTCTCGAGTTGGATAATATTTTTTTCTGCTATTGTGTTAAATATTACATTAAATAAATGTCACTGGCAATATAAAATGAATTCCTAAAGTGGATTGATGTAAGTCGGGTCGAGAAAACACTATTAGCAATATTCATATGGCTTTAACACCTCTGCTTGATGTACGGTAGTGTGTAAGCACACATTGAAAATACTCCTACGTTTGTGCATGACATTATCATATTACAAGCAACAGACTAGACATTGAAAGGGCAAATATAATTTGCCTCTAAATAGATTTAATAAATTGTATCTGTGTTTACCTCTTGTTTGTAATATAACATTTAAGTGGAATGTTATCTTTCTGACTGGAATCAAGTTCTAATAAATAAAAAATATAAATCCCGCTACTTTACCATGTTCCCCGGTCGGGCCAGCCCAATCATGAAACATTGGGAGCTGAATCTTAAACTGTGAGAATATTATGTGCCAATATGCCAAGTATAACCAATAAAAGGAAGCCCTTGATAAGCAGCAATGAATGTTATATAGTCATTAGAATGTGATAGGCCCGCGCTTATACAACAAAGTAATACGAGATTTTGAAGTCATACGTAAGTTTAATACTTACAGAATGAAAAATTATATAACTAGTTTCATGATTGAACTAGTATCATGCTACTGAAAAAATTCTAGATACCATGAAGTAAAACACACACACACATATGGACACAAATAAAAACACGTATGGACACACACACACACACATATGGACACACGTAAACACACGTATGGACACACACACACACATATGGACACACAAACACACGTATGGACACACACACACACACACACACACACACACTTTATTATTTTAGAACTTTTTAAATAAGATCTAATTTGAAATAGAATAGGGCAGTGACATTTTTGATAACATGTAAAAATGTGAAATTTTGGATTACATGTAAAAATGTGAAGGGCACTGACTTCTGCAACACAGGGTAACCTAGCACAGGAGTCAGAGTTCAAAATATCGTACATTACCTCTTCCAATTTTATAAATGTGATTACATTAAGTTTTTTCTCTTTTTGTATTGGTTGCATGAATAAATAAATTATTATTATTAATGTTTCATTTTTTTGTTTTAGCTAAATTCCTCTACAGTCTCGTGGTCCGTACTTTTTTTTATTAGATTTTTTTTGTGCTGTCACCGCCGCTTAAATCACCCGGCCAGGTTACGGTACAGCAGTGAGTAAAAATTGATTGCAATGAGTGTTACATAATGTTGGTGCAAATGTTACTTATAATAATGTTTATGATTACAGCGCCGGTGGTTTTTGGGACCCACGAAGTTGATATGAACCTGGGTATTGTCCACGTGAAATTTATGATTGTACTTAAACTTTATTTCTATTTTGTGAATAAATACGTATTAAAGATATATCAATACCCAGACACTATTAAAACACACAAAATATATTTTCAATAGGGGGGATCGGACCCAGACCCTCTGGGTACAACAGGCCGGGTACTCATTGCGTCAATCGGGTTATTTGCATAGGCACTTTGGTCACTCTAAATTGTTTAAATGTCGTCCCTATAAATAAACATGTTATAAGGGTTTCAGCGTAATGCATTGGTACTTTGTTTACGCTAAATTATTTGAAATGCCGCCCCGTTAAATAGGCATTTAATTTCTGAAGTTTTCAGTGTAAAAATGCCCTCTGAGGCGATACTCGCCACCTTGTCTAAGCCCGCGCGTCTACAGCGTCGGCACGACTCATTTAGCATGCGGTCGGCTTACGCGTCGCCCCGTGGTAACACGAACGCGCACAGATAATATGGCTTTAACACCTCGCACTACGCGGTTTCCGATGAAGGTACTTACGTGGATGAACATACGAAGCACGGGGTGGGATGCCTGGATTATGTTTAACACTCCTACGAATGAAATAGGTTCTGCATGCTTCGCGCGAGCAAATTTCACAAAATTAGTCTCATTTGGCCCGACTCGGCTATAAGATTTGGAAATAGTGAAAAAAATGTAAGACTGTTTAAAAAATAAAGTAAAGTAACAACCTATAAATGTCCCAATGCTGGGCAAAGGCCTACTCAGTACAGACGGTATTAGGGCTTAGTCCAACACGAGACCCCACTACGGATTGGCAGACTTCACATATCTTCGAAATATATATTTTTTCTTCACCCCTGAGCACGTGATAAGTCGACACTTAAAAGTAATAATTTCATAAGGGCCGGCACTGGGGATTGAACTCAGGATTCTCAAGTGAACTCTCTGAGCTACGCGATCACAGCTGTTTGCCTGTGGTTAATTATGTCACCATGTCTCACCTGAATTAATGTTAGGCTCACTTTTATCATCGGACAACAATGGATGTTTGATCCTCATACTAATCTAGTACAGTCGGATCTCTCATAAAATAGTTATGCAATCTGTACGTTTTGACCGTCTTGCGCCAGATATATGAGGCGAGGCTTCTTCAGGTACTTGAAAGTTTTAACCGTCATGCACGAGGTTTTTTCCAGCTAATTGATTAAAACCCAATCGTGACAGGTTAACCTATCGTCATGCGACGTAAACTATACATATCAGCGGTTTTTGCATGTTATCAATCTGCAATATATATACGTGTAAGTGTATTGTTGCACACCATTCGAACTCGAATTTGTGGCTTCAATTCGCAAATTGCTGTTCCCGCTACTAAATTATCTATTTAAGATATAAGGCAATATTATGATATTAATATGTGATCCAATATGATCAAAGTTACATTTATATACAGTGTATTATAGTGTAATGCCATAAGTAATATACAAGTTACTACCCGGATATTTTGCGTAATGTATTATTTAAATGTTTATTACTAATTATTCATTACTTAAATGTAATCCTTACTAATATTATAAAGGCTAAAGTTTGTATGTATGGATAGATGTTTGTTACTCTTTCACACAAAAAGTACTGAATAGATTTTAATGAAACTTTACAATAACATAGCTTATACGTCAGAATAACACATAGGCTCCAATATATAAAGATATTGTGTGAATTATCCAAAATATAGGTAATGATAAGTTTCAACTTAGTAGTGTATAATAAAAGGCTAGTTGTTAATGTCCCTTTGGCCGCGCGGGTGAAGCCGCAGAACAGCTAGTTATTAATATTTACCGTTTATATACGCAGATCAAATAGTAAAGGTTCTGCTCTTTGGAATCATTTACATTCCTGCAGTTCGGATCTATTTAGTATTTAGTCATCAATCGACAAGATGGATATTGTACCTGCCCTTATTCTGTCTAGGTGGGGTCGGCACAACATATTGTTAGTGTTATTGCATTACGAGTGACTGCAATAATCCTTGGAAAAACACAAATTATCTGCCTTACATATACTTGTCCCATATGAGAATCGAACCCACGACTGACTTCTCTTGGTTCTAAGCAACTGCACTACCGAGTCATCTCTTTAAGTTTTTCAATCGTTGAAAAAATTCTACGTTGTCTATCGTAACCATCAAGGTTACAACTGATTTAAAACAACGCAACAAAATATGTGATGTAACAATTATTAGATTTAAATACAAACGTCATGTTTCTTCATAAATGTGTTATTAAGTGTAAAATACTATATGTTTATTTTCCATATTAATCGCTATAGGGGTTTCGGTCCATGCTGAAGGACAGCGGTTAAAATAGCATTTATATAGTCGAAAGTTATCGTCATTTACTGTCCGCTGTAAAAATTAAGAATCGAACGCGGACGTTTCGTCATTCGTAAAACAAAATGCAACAAGTTAATGTGTCGAGATAGAACAGAATGCGTGGAAGGCACTTCGCGCCAGCAATCGCCGTGTTCCACCGCTGCCAGTTGTCATCCGTGATGAACTTTATCGATCCCCGGCTCAGGAGTAACGACACGTCTCATACTGAGGAATCTTAAATCTGTAATCTCCACTTTTTGCATTCCCTCCCGCCTCGGGCTCCATAACGACACAATAAACGTATTTTATAAGCGCTCACACTTAACGTTTATATCGCCCTATAAGTAGATCGCGGAATAATAAAACTAAAGGAGAGCGAACATCAAGAAAGCAATAACATCATTATCATAGCGAGTCCGCCATCTCTTTCCAATAGGTCTCACCCCTCCTTTGGCCCCGCCCATGGCGTATCGCCTCTGTCACCTGTATATCTCAAAACATTACACATATGCAAAACTTTCGCGCTCGCATCTCTCGGCACACACCCAGCCTCCACGCACACACGGCCGCCCGAAGGCTTGCAGCTGCAGCGTGCGCGTGTGTGCGCGTGTGTGTACGGTCTGGTATAAATCTGCAAGATAAAAACTGTACTATATCGCGTCGCGACCGTGCTGCCCGGACGGGCTCCTCTTTTTTGCCGAGATAGTCGCCCGTAGGCGTGCCTAGTGAGTTGTTTGCACCTCGCACAGTGGTCGATATTTCACAATGCCGTGTCATCGACACGACATCTTCGCTGAAATATAGCTGCCGCGTGCGTTATCTTTGAGGATTGCAAACTTTTCTGCGGCCATCCTTCTTATCTCTAGTAAACTCTGTATTTAAATTAAACACGGAATGCTCATTTAATTAATTATAGTCCGCTCTTTTAAAATTTCTTTATTTTATCGAGTTTTACTATACTTATATATGTTCACAGCAAACAAAATCATCTTACAGATGTACGGGAGATATGATTTGACACATAAAAGGGTGTTCGATCGCAAGTGATTTGAACAATTTTACCATAAACATTGATTCCATCCAATAGCTATCGAGATTAAACGCTGTCAATTCAATCGGCAATTTTTCGTGCGTCTCCCCACTATGCATGCCTCGTGGACGATTTCAGTCACAGGAACGGCGGACGCCAATTATCCACATTGTGTACATGAAGCAGTTAGTGCACTGTAATTACGACACCGCGATTCAGCGCATTGTTCAAACGTCAAAGCCATGTCTGAATGGCGGACGTATGACATTTTCGATAGAATAAAACGGCCGATATTAGCGCGCGCGTTTAATATTATCAAAGGCAAATATAATTGCGCGCTCATAACGGAAACCGCAGCCATTGACAATTCAGTATTGTCTCTATTCAATGTAACATGAAAAATATTGTCATTCGCCGCAAGAGATTTAAAATATTTACTCCTACGTAAAGCGACGTACAAAGCGTTACAGTATCTCGCTCTTAGCCGACGCACTTACATAACCTGCAAAGACCAAAATGTACCCTAGTTTGGTAAATACAGAATTACCAAAAAAGTGATAACCGATTTCGGTAAATCTGACTAAATTTTAATTGTAAAACAAATTGCATCATTTGATCTTTAACTTAGGAAACTACGAAGGATTAAATATAAATGATAATATACCACTCAAAACTGAACCAGTGACCTTTAAATCGCTTGTCCAAGGCTGCAGATATTAACTGGTTCATCACTGACAATAAATCGTACCGCCTAAAATAACCATACACAAGGGAAAGGAAAAGATTGAAATCCAATTTTTAACCCTTGTTGTTTATTCTTTACGTGCTTAATTACAATTGTAATAGCCCATGTACATTTATGTGCATTTTCATTCCGTAATTACTATAGCTTTAGACAAAACTGTAGCGCACATTGCCTCAGCGATTACGTCCGCTTACCGTTCCTGTAATTAAACATTTTAATAACAGTTTTGTTTAAGCCTTGCTTCCATTTTCACATGCTGTTCCATGAGCAATTTATATATTCTACAATTTGAATGAATTGTTTTTAGATTTGTTTTCTTACAGTTCAAGTATAAAATATACTTTATAAATAAAGCAATAGTTTCAGCAGATCGGTTTTGGTACTAACTTTATTTTGTTAATTGCGACACTTAGATTGCTATAAATAAAAGTAAAAAACTTATAAAAATTGAAGCATGTTTCGGTGCGTTCGTAAATAATAATTGATGTGCGTTAATTACCATTAATAATAATAATAAAGAACAATATCGAAAATCTGAAAGTAAGTGCGAGTGACGTATGACTCTTTCTCCAAATCCGAAGAATGCGACCGTGGCCTTAAGCAGTTCGTTAAAACGGCCCGAAATCTGTGACATTTCCGAAATGCGACGGAATATTCGAGAATGCGAGCGTTGCGATGGAAGTGTACTTTAATAAAAATTTAAATAGGCCCCGGCACCGTGTCACGCTTAGTTTAAATAAGCACACGGCTGCACTAATTACTGCGCATTGCTTGACGACAATTTATTTCCCATTAGGCGAGGTGCGCGGCGGCCTTCTGCGGATTTCGGTCGCCCACCTCTGCGTCGTAATGATGATTATTTTAATTTCGCTAATAACACTTTAATTATAAACGCAGACGAGGCCGTTCGGATTTTGCCGCGCGATAGTAAATATGTTATTATGCTTCATTGATGCCTTTGCTTGATTATTAATTTTTTTTTGCCGCGTCGCTTTTAATGGCCAATGCTTTTTTGCTGGTCGCGATTAATTTTTTGAATTAGACGCGGCGACTCTCGGTTTTGGATGGTAGTTTGTTTGATTGATAGTCGTGTAATGTGTATTTTGCATTCGCAATTGAAAATCTTTGGGTGAAATGTTTTGCTTGATGTCATTTCCACAAGCTTGCGAATTCAACAAAACTGCTGTTTAGTTGTATTTTTTATTAAAAATGTATTGGATGCATATAAAGCAAGCTTATAAATCTTTATCAATATTCAAGAATTTTTTATAATAGGCAAAACTAACATAAAAATTGCAACATTGGCCCTGCATCCCTGCCAACCAAATATTGGTTGTTAGAATCGTGTGTATCGAAATGACATCTGACTTATATGGTATCCACGTCGGTGACAATATTTTGACAACCAGTGAATGACATGCTTTAGTTCAACAGGTAAACATACTTTTTAATTGTTGATGGAACCAATGATATTATTATACAAAAATATGACACTAGCACACCGAAAGCGCACTTATATATGTCATATAAAGTAAAGCGGAACAATTGCTGAACGCCGCATAGTATGGACATGCGTCATCTATATTATCAAACATCATTGGATAGCTCAAAGATTGATCTTTAGCAGGGGTTCTAAGACATTTTAACTCTATTTGCTGTCTCATTTCGTTAGATATGTCGATTTTTAACAAAGCATAGCAGCAATACTTTTGGCTGACACCAGCTGTGTTTTCTGTTTTTGATACTAAGGTTTTTTCCCATTTTCTATCAAAAGTATCAATGCTAGGAATAATAAAGCACTGTAATATGTTTGCAAATTTCGGTACAATCAATAGCAACCTGAGTTCAATTCCTGGTAACTAATGACATTATTAATTATAATTTTAAGTGCAGAATTATCATATGAATTATCATGCAGTGAAGAGAAAAATCATGAACCGAGGCATATTTTCGAAATTATTACAGAAAAAATATTTTGAAAATATGTTAAGTTTGCCAATCCGCAGGGGGTTTGCGTGGTGGTCTATGCCCTAACCCTCTGTACAAACTAGGCTTTTGCCCATCGGTGGGACATAATATATAGGCTCTTTACTTACCTGTGGTAGTTTTACTTATGACCGATCTCAGTACAGAGACAAAAAATAAATACAGAAAAGAATTCGCTTTTAATATACGGTGCCTGACCGAAACGTCTCGAACAATGCCACCCTATCGCGGAGGCCGATTTACACGGGCCTTTTGACCGTCCGATTCCCCGCAAGATTGGCTTTGTCTAACCGGAGTTTCAATTCGTCGCCCATTGTGGCGCCCCCGAGATGAGTGGATGTCGTTAGCGAGATTTCTCGCCGGCGAGATAAGGCTCTAGTACAAAAGAGATCGGTGTAATCGCCGTGTGCGCGCACATTTAGCAACGGTGCCCTTTGTGTGCTCGAGTGTGGTGTCAATTTTTTACCACCGCCATTAGAACGCTTCGGTTCCTTCGTGTACTCTGTCGCTGTGCTTAAGACAATTGCGCCAATAAGGCGCGTGCATAGGTTCGTCGAATATCAATGAAAATAAATATCATTTGTCGAAAATTGGCTCTCGTTATGTCTATAATGTCTAACGTACTCTACTGCATATACGAATAAGAAAAGTCTTGAACAGATGTTACTATTTACGATCGTTCCTGTTTGATAGATATATGTTATCCAATTACCATGTGAAATACAGCGTAATCTATTCTTTACGAACACCATAATGTGTGGTCGTGTGCTCGCGTACAAATCTTCGAGTTAGGCAACCGCGATAATTTGGACTTAGGTAACTTAATCGGGAGATGGAAGACGTAACCGTATACATTCGATTGGTAATTGTATCTAAATCGACAGTATTAGTTCTCAGACAAGCTCCATCGTACGGAGGACGAGAGACATTCATCGATACTACGGAGACATATTCATTAGAGGCACTCACACATAAGTAACGCCACTTCACACAAACAGGGTGTATTAGACGTAGAAACGTAGCTACAGCTAAGAAAAATAATAGATGTGGCATCGTAGTAATAATAATCTTGCTTTTATTAAATGTTCTTAACAAGTAACTTTATGACGTTTCAAATATGAAAATATTTTTTTTACATTTTATACGTTTACATATAAAGCCAATGTGCTCTTTTCTCTTACATATTTCTTAAAAAAATATATATTGATATATTCATGAGGTCGCCGTTAGAATATTATAAAAAATGACGACGATATATTTTAGATATGTTCGTTTAAAAGTTTTGCGTAGTGTCGCATCTAGTATCGCAATCGCTCGTCTTATGGAACATCTTGGAATGTCATACTTGAAGCAAGTAATCAAGCAATATTCTTCTTAATCAACCCCACCCACTACGGCGGGGGTCGATTCAACCAACAAAGGAATTGATTAACTAACTATGCCACGATATTACCCCGTCGTATTATTCCACTATAATAAAGAGGGCTCGGTAACCGTGGTACTTAATGAGAGAAAACTCGATTAGAATTCATATTAATCTTATAATAACCCGATAGAAAGAAAGTTTCTTGATTAAACCATTTGCCCATGGAATGTTTAGATCAGATATTCTCAAAGTGTGAAGTAGCAAGGCAAATTTAAATTGCTAAAATGAATAACGGTAATTTTTTATGTGGTTAAATGAACTGGATCTTTGAATTACTGAAGTGAATCGCAGTAAATTTTCATGTGGGTATGAGCTAGATCTATATACCTTTTTTAACTCGAACACTGGCCAGTAACAGCAGTATTCACTCTGAAAGGTCAGAGACTTTACAAGGGTACTTGTTACATGTATATTGTATGAATTGTTTAAACTTGTGTTA